ATCCAAGGGTAACTATTATTTGCTTTTACAGACATTTTACAAATGGAAGAAAGCGAGGGGATCATTTATACTGAGCCGTCGAGGCCTAGATCATACCATCTCGCCTCTGATTCACTCAATAAATGAATGAATCAAGAACTGCCATCACTGCACTCTGGACATTCTCACACGTACTTAGTCTCCTTCCTCAGTAGCCACCGAAGTGTCGACATGCTAACAGTACTAGCTGCAGTCTGGTTAAAAGTCCACTTTTGTTTTCCCCGTCAATGTTATATATCTTCCAGAGCCTCTGCTCAGTCACCGTTGATTTAGTCTGGCAGTGTACATAATCTCTGACAGTTTTGTTGTACTGTCTGTCCTTTTTAACACAGAAAGTCCTTCCGTGGTTCAGTTAACCTCGTGGACCGTGAATTATTATTATTATTTTTCAGCTTAAAATGGGTACCAGGATGTATGTCCTGGGGAAGAAGAGACGGCCGGCTTAATGCTGACCACATTACCTACCTAGTGCCGATTGGTCTGCCCATATGCCCGTTGCGCATAAGGGGTGAAAATGGATCTTTACTTATATACTTGTATTATTATTATCATTATTTTGTTAATTTCAAAACAAAAAGAGTATTTGTATACTCTTCTCTGATCCTAGACCACTAGCTGTCTCTGATTTGTGTGGACAATTCAGAGGACAAACGAGTATGTCTCACAAGTTAATTCTGTCAGTACCAAACAGCTATTCGTGCGTTTCTTGCTTATTCGAGGATAATATGATGCTCTTGTGATATAAACATTTTACGACTCAATAATTAGTTTGACCAGAGCTTTTTTTCTCTCAAGCGGTATGCGGTGCCGCTACGCTTTTTTTATCATCATTTTTTTTTCTCTAACTATACCTTTACAGATACTTTATGGTGAGTAAGGGTGCTGTTTTAAATCACTGTATAGTAAGTATCAGCCACTTTCTGGGGGGGGGGGGGGTATTGAGTAAAACTATTTTTAATCCCATAGACTAGAGTCTCGTTTGAGCCTCTTCAGATCTATAATTATTTATGTGGAACGTGAGGAGCTAAAGTAACTACTGCTTCGATTGAAAGAGTTTAAAATGTCATTACATTTAAAGAATAATCACATAATACACATTAAGACACACGCTGATGCTGCGAAATTCGACACAACGGTAGGATAATCCTTAACTGCTTTATTATAAAATCTCAGCAATTCCACAGATTACATTGTCATCAAGTGTGTATGTCATTTAAAAGAATTCACGTTGCGCTCTTTATTATGAGACGAAGTAGACTCTATAGGGAAGCACTTCTTCTTCTTCTTCTTCTTCTTCTTCTTCTTCTTCTTCCTCTTCTTCTTCTTCTTCTTATTATTATTATTATTATTATTATTATTATTATTATTATTATTATTATTATTATTATTCCTTCTCCTCCTCTTCTTCTTTTTCTTTTGAACTACTTCTGATGCAAGTAATTAGTTCTCTTCGTGGGGAAATTTTGTGAGGTCATCCGCATTACACCTTTTTTCCCATTAATTAGTACTTCACTTCTGATGCTGGTAATAACTTCTCTTTGCAAGTTAATTATTGCACACATCCTCTTTATGCTTTTTTTTTTAAATCTGTTCGAGCGATAAAAAGTGTGATAAAGAAGTTCACTTACACGATAAAAATGTTAAAATATAATATTAACAACTTTATAATCTTCTAACAATGAACAGACAATGGGTTATAATGAAAGCCAGTTCGGAAAACCCATGGATCGATGTTGTACTACTTCCATCTACAACGATACAGTCCCGCCCTATCACAACACGCGAAACTTTGCCTACTCGAGATTGGGTCTGCCCTTTGGAGAGACTCTGGGATATTTCAGGTTCAAACCTGTAAGTTAATAAATGTTTGCTCTCTAAAACTCAGCATCGTTTCTAAAAATAAACCTTAATAATGAACTACTGTAACTAATTACATATTTGGAGGCTCTTCTTATCATCATCACAATCATATAGTAGGTCCTTTGCAGTACGCCGCTCATGTTACGGTGTGCCTGAAAGAAACTCGGTCTCTCGCCGGCTTTTTCGCCTCGTGCGCCTTCATATCCTTAGAGTCGTTTATATCCTGTGCCCATCTTCGTTTTGGTCTTCTTACAGTATGACCAAAAGTATTAAAAACGGTGCTGTTTTATCTGTTATCCTGTCCTGTCAGGTTTCCAGAGAAGATAATGTCCTTCATATCCAAGGAGTCATTTATATCCTATGCCCATCTTCCTCTTACAGTATGACCAAAATTACTAAAGAAGCTGCTATTTTATCTTTTATCCTGTTCTGTTAGTTTTCAGAGAAGTCTTCGTCATTGCGGGATAAAGATGTAAGGCGGTTTTTTTTTTTTTTTTTTTTTGGGGGGGGGGGGGGAGAGAGAATGCTCGCATGCTTTATAGAGCCAGTTTCAACATTTGTCTGTGAATCCTGGACACTTATTAGACACATTAAACAATTTCTTGAGGCCTCAGAGATGTGGTTTTGCAGGACGAAGCCTACGAAGGATTCCTCAGACAGGCAAAAGGAGTAACCCATGTGTTTTGAAGAAAAAAAAAGTGTGCCTTCCTGCCCTATGAGAGGGCACGGCTGTGAGGTTTGAATACTCTTTCTAGCTGTTGGAGTGACAAATGCGATAGCCTCATTTGTCAAAAGGCATTGTGTTTTGCGTTGGTGTGCTATTTTTCGTGAACTGTGAATTTATAAGTTTTGCTTTGCAATTGTTTAAATCTACTTTCCTAATTTGCAAAATGTCTCATTGCTTCCATTTGGAAGCACCTTTCTTTATACATTTCTGCTTCATTGTTTCTAAAAACACCTCATAAGGCAATGGTTCTCAATCTTCTTAATGCTACGACCCTTTAATATAATTCCTCGTGTTGTAAGAGCTAATGTTCCAAGCCCCACAGTAATAACAGTAACATCAAAAGAGAAAACAAACTGAGGTGCCTGGCTATCACTTTCGATAAAGTCCTGTCCTTTAGGGAACACGTGGAGGCAGTTGTGGTGAAATGCTAAAGATGCCTCAATGCTCTAAAGTTTATGGCAGCAATGGACTTGGAACAAAGGATGTTGCTCACAGTGTTCCAGCTTGTGATCCTGACGGTGATAGATTATGGACTTGGAATGACTGTCGCGCGCCCACGTGGGCAAATACACTGATATAGTGAGGGTGTGGGTTTGAACCTTAACAATGCCCACCCACGTGAGAAACTGGACTATTATCTAAGCTATGTTGATCCTAGACAGTCCTGGATAGCCAAGAAAACAGCGAGTGGCTCGTTCCATGAAATGAAAGTTGCTGTACTTGTATCCACAGGAGTTGGAGAAGGGATAGATAGATTTCTGGATACACCCACTATGAAATAATCCAGGTGCTCATTTAACCCCTCCGACTGCTCTCCTCTCCTGGCATTACTTAAAAGCCCCCATCAAGTGATTTAAATATTTGTTAGCTGAAGTAAACTAATATGCACAAAGACACTTGAACCTAAGTACACAATTTACTTAACTCTGTTGTAACAACATCAAAAAGATTTATTTAATAAATCTGACTAAAATAAAATGAACTTGTTTAGGCTAGTAGAGTTGGGATGATGTGAATGATGACAGTTTGTACATATACTTAACTCCTAGTAGGAGAATGCACCGTCAGGACAGTTCTCGGCTTGAGACCCTGCCTATCTTTTCCAGTTTGTCGTCCTCACTGCTTTCTGCAGGTCGTTACACTCGACGGTCGGCAAATAATGGATGCCTACTAGTCCCTGCCCAATGTGGGAACTGGAGAATGAAGAAACAAGCGCATATTTGTAGTATCTGCTCTAGATGTACACTAAGCATGTATATTATACTAACATCAAGCATGTTTATTTAAATAAAACATTTCATCTCTCCCTCATGCTCACATTCACTCCTGTCCAATTTGGAAGGGCTTATGTCTCACATTCCAACTGTTACATCTTCTGCCTTCCTCTACACGTCCTGTAATGATAGTCAAGTCTTCTACGTCAGGTGCCATCTCTCGTACAGACTCAAATGACAATCAGTCAGACAGAACCAGTTCTGGAATCTATGCTTGGAACAATCGACGCGCCCAGAATGCTAACAATAGTTCTGGGGCGAATCAAATAACAAATCTCGTGGATTTACTCTCCGGGATCAATCTCCGCGTTAGCCTCCCGAGAGTTAAACACATTTCAGTGTGTTAGCTGTATGTAATACAGATTCACATTAACCACACGTGAACAGATTGCCAAAGTTATCTTCACGCTTGTGATTTCAAAAACATGATAGTTCATTAAATTTCAATGGCAACAACAACATTTAGGTTTTACAACATTGAAACACATGTGCACGAAAAACATTCATGACACTATCAAATAGGATATAAAGCAATGTGACAGTGCCCTACGAGAATGAAGAAATGTCCGCCTAGGAGTACTACAAGGTGATGAAGACACACACTTGAGCAAAAAGACAGTTAGATCTATATCATAAATAAAATAAAGGTTTTGAAACTAATTTCGATCTTACCTGGAAAAAATGAAACCACAATGCCAAAAGTTCTGTCTCAAGCTTAGGTTAAGCCCAACAGATGGCATATGCTCGACAGGATCTCATTTACCAGACCTATAGTTCACCCCTTTATAACTTTTATCAAGCTCCTCCTACATTACGCCTAAAATCATTCTCATTCACGGATATCACAGCTCCTCCCTTGTGGGTAAGTTTATTCGCTGTCAGTCAGGGCTGTACAACTATTGTTTGAATTCCCACGCTAGGGTCTCCTGGTTCAATTAAGCTGACCAGAGCAAATAAGACAAGTCACACCTCCAGTCTACTTCACCTGTCATCACAATAAAATCCGACTTTGTCAATTCTTCTGCCAACACTTTCCGCTCACTGTGTCAATAGTGACGATCTGACTGGCACTCCAGTTTAGGTAACCTCAGGGGGAGATAATGGCAATTAGCCCTTGTTATCTGTTCCTGAAGATCTGGCAGGGGGAATAACTATCTGACACCAACAAATGGTGTGCAAATCTCCAGTCAGTAAGTCTGCTTGGTCAGTCTTATCTCTGTACCTTAACACTTAACATCTGGGAAAAAGTTGTAGTGTTTGATATGACCAACGGTCCAGGAGAATTAAAGGTGTGATGTGGTCATCCTATTTAGATTAAGGATGTATCCAAATCCCTATTTGTCTGTATACTTCAAAATACACACAAATAAAAGTAGGTTGAGGAAAGACATTCTGAAGTCACCGCGCGTATTGTCACAATGCCTAACATATCGAAGAGTCAGCTGATGAAACTTAAACGCATACAGAATGAAGCCGTGCGGGTAATTCTTGGATGTACAAGAGATACCCCGGTTGTATGTATGCGATACATACTTGCACTGCCTACTGTTGCAGAAAGTCTCAAATTTCTGCAGGCAAAGTCATATCTCAGAGTAGCTGCAGACAAGAAGCACCTACCGCATGAAATCCTGGGTAGAGCTAAGGGTCACAGACTGAAAAGATGAAGGTCTTGGATGGCGCAAGCTAAAGACACAATTGGACATGTGTACAAACTTCATAATTTTGAGCGAGGAGAGGAGTGGGCCAAGGTGTCCGAATAAGTTTCAGACGTGTGTAGGGTTCTAATCTCATTAGGTCGTGAGTGCAGAGACTGGCCAACTGGTCCTGCAGAGTCAGTTCAACACAATTCTGCCACTCAGCACAGAGACATCTGCATAGATAATCACATCACTTGGGCAGGAATTGTCATGAACCATTTGTTGAACTTCCGACTCTGCAGCACAAGCTGGCCAGTCCCTGCACTCACAATAGGAATAAACTCACAGGGAGCAAGTACAGCAGGGATCTACCAGTCGTCAGTAGAAATTATGCTCGTCGACACGCGTTTCGGTCCACGATTCCTAGACGCATTCGGAGGTGGGCCCTCCTGAGTTCATGAAGCTCAGGGCTGGTTCCCTGCTGCACGAAATTACCGGATGGTGTTTTCTTTCGGCCAGAGACAAGACGACTTGGTGGTTTCGCAGAAGGTACTGTGAGATAAGAAGTCGCCGCGGCAGCCTAATTAAAGCAGTCAGCATGCCTGGACGACCGAGCGACAAGCTTACGTTTGGTTTACAGGACACATGTTGGACTTTTGTTAGCAGGTGGCAGAAGAACATTGGCAGACACTTCGGACACGATGGACTTTCAAAGGGGTGAGAAACCCTTTTCCACTAGAGACCCGGACCAGCTCACCGAGGCCCGTCCCCTACGTTGTAGCGTTTAGTCCAAAGCCAGCTAGAGGCCCTTTCGGCTACCTCTCCCAGTTTTTTAAGTGTTCGTTTCCGTTCATTACCGCGTAATCCTAGTTCTTTCACCACATTGTAGAGCGAAGTGGAAACGAGGCCTCTCGCTCCCACTTCGACGGCAAATACCCGTACTGTGTACGCCTCGTTTCTCCTCAGACCGGCTGCTAAATCACTGTATTTCTCGAGCTTATACATGTGATTCTCCTCCATACGCGACTCAAACGGGACAGTCAGCTCAATCAGGATGAGCTGCCGTTTTTGCGCAGAGTGGAGAACTATGTCCGGTCGCAGGCCGGTCTTACGGATCAACTCGGGGTACCGTTCATGGCCTGGCAGATCAACCGCCAGTAAACAGTCCCTCGCAGAGTCTAGCACAGATGGAGCGAATGCGTTTTGGTTGACCTTACCTTTTTGAACCTGCCCAGCCTTGAGAAAACGAATAGGGACGATGCTAGAACTGGCTCTGGCGTTAGCCCTCATTCTAGCCTGGTCGACAACGGCTGCTAACTCTTTTAACACCTTGTTGTGTCGCCAGGTATATCGGCCTTGACCTAGGGCTTTCCTGCACGCGGACAGGACGTGCTCAAGAGTTTGCTTCGATTTACACAACGGGCAAGTCGGATCGTTGGCCGCAGACCATTTAACCATGTTAACACCGGACGGTAATACATCGTACGCCGAACGAACTATAAAGCTCAGTCGCAGCGGGGTCATCCGCCAGATCTCACCCCATGTGAGTATTCTTGGCAATGCGCTCTCCAGGCTGACCCAATGGCCCTGCTGCGACTGCTGGGCTGCTTTCTGGACCCGAACCTCGTTTTCGTTGTCCCTCACCGTTTGTATCACCATGTCTCGGCGTTCTTTGGCTGAGGCCTTTGACCACCAATTGACCTTCCCGTGCCCTAAGCCTCGACGGTCGGTTTGAGTGTATCCCATTATCGCCTTCAATTTTAGTGCATTCTGGGCAGATTCTATCGCATCGAGGACCCTCCACTTGTGACCAGTCTTTAGAGCGGGCTGGACAGCGATGACATTTGGGTCTGAAGACTCGCGTAAGAGCATGGCGAGCCTTACCTTGCCGACTTTAAACTCTTCGGTTATTGATTTGAACGGAAGTACCAGCTTAGCCTGTTTGCAATACAGAGCCACGTCGGTCAGACAAGGCGGTGCACCAATCCACTTTCTCAAGGCTGTGTTGGTTTTCTTCTCCATGGTTTCTACTGCAGTCATCGTCACTTCGTAGACTAACAGTGGCCATAGGAGCTTTGGAATCAACATGAATTGGAGACACCATACCTTGAATTTTCCGATCAGCCTGCATCGCTCGATCGCGAGCAGGCCTGTAGCCAGTGACTCGTGTATTCGCCGGACCTCCGCTCTATCAGATAACTTCGAATCGTAAACGCGACCGAGACTCTTCACCGGTTCCTCCAGAACCGTGGGAATTTTGTTCCTTGCCACCGTAAAACTGGTTGCCGACACCTTGCCCTTATGGATTGACAGACTCCTCGACTTCTGCGGTTTGAACTGCATACCGCTCCATTGGACCACCGCGTCCAATCTTTTCAGGATCGTGCGGGCAGATTCCTCGCTGCCCGTTATTATAGTTGTGTCATCCATAAATGCGCGTAGTGGCGGCAACCAGTGATCCCCTATTTGAAGGCCCTGTCCGTAGCCGGCCGCCCCGTCTAACATGATCTGCATAGACATGACAAACAGTATAGGTGAGATCGTACACCCCATAGCTATCCCAATCTGCAACTCAGTCCACCTCGTGGTAAACGTCGAGGTAGAGAAGCGCAAAGCGATCTTAGAGAAATATTGCTCGATCATTTGATTGATCTGTGCCGGTACGTGAAACATGCGAAAGGCTCGCCACAGTAGCCTATGGGGGACTGCCCCGTAGGCGTTGGCTAAGTCCAACCATATAACGTGCAATTCGGTTCTCTCATGCTTGGCTCTCTGGATAGCCTCCCAAATCATGGTCGCGTGTTCAAGGCACCCAGGAACGCCTGGAATACCACCCTTCTGAACATTCGTATCTATGTACTTGTTAGTCATTAGATACTGTGTGAGCCGGCGAGCCTTGACTGAGAAGAATATCTTACCCTCGACATTCAACAGCGAGATGAATTGGGAAAGACTCTTCGAGTCCTGCTCTTTGGGAATGTAGACCCCATTTGCCTTTGACCACTCTGGACATATGTGATTACGGATCCACGCTTGTCTCAACAAGACGTGAAGCATTTTTAGGATTTTCGGGCAGCGCTTGTAAAAAACGTACGGGACACCGTTCGGACCTAGGGCAGACTTGCCGCTGGCCTTTTTCACAACTTCCTCAACCTCAGACCAAAGGGGAGGTACCATTTTAAATGGTACCTTCGGCACCGAAGGCTGTTTAAGACCGCTAAGGATTGTCATCGAGAGGCTCTCTCCTCTTTTTGTCAGAGTACATCTTGCGTAGATGTAGCTAAAGTTCTTCCTGACTGACAACCAGATTCCCAGACTTCGGTTGCTCGAAAAGACCTCGGGCAAACTGATACGGGTCCCTAAAGAATTTATCTCGCTCCCTTTTGGTTCTTCGTCTGTTGTTACAGAAACGCTCAGCGCGACAGAGGGCACTGTGTTTGTTCTTTAAATGCAACCAAACTTCGTACAGTCCCTCCCGTTCGCTGCCTGTAGCGGCTTTGAACCGTTTTCTGAGGGCATTCTTGTCTGCCTGACACTTCAGAATGTCCCTCTGTCTCCTGCTAGTATTCTGCTTGGCACCCGGCTGTGCACTGTCCCGAACTCGCGTTAGCAGTGTTCATATATAACATCACCTAATTTCGTAAGCTTGTCGCCTAGCGACTTCTTGTTTAGATCTTGTTTAAGTACCTCACATAATGTAGCCTCCAACTTACACCACACCACCTTCTCGCTCGCAGGTGGAAACCTGATTCTGGAACGCACTTCTTCAGAAATCATCAAAGGTGCTCCTCCGCAGTCGACGTCATGGGCCTCTCCGGGCGAGTGGGGTTCACCCTGCCCGTCGTACCCTGACGACTCAGAAACTACCACAGGAGTAGTAGTTTTGCGACGGCGTTTACTGCATGGAGCACCCTCGCATTTCATTCTTCCGGCATGCGTTCTCAAACCATGCAACCCCGTGAAGCTTTTCCCACATGTACAGAGCCAGCCCGGACGTTGGGCGAGTATCTGAGTCCGGGGGCTAGCATAGTCGTCACCGAGAGTATCAATTGGATTGGGCCATTCATTCTCCCCCCCCCCCTTTTCGGAGGGCCCTGGGGGCATATTTATATGTGGTTGAACGAAATCGGAGGTATTATACTGTGTTAGGGGTGATCAACCCGGTCCACAGTCGACATCTGTCTCCAGATGTCAGTTTATCCCCCCGGCGATACCGGGGGGGGGGGGGCAGTCTTTCCATAGGTGTCACAACATAAAGAGATTAGAACCCTACCCAAATTAGACAGTACTGCTCTGTAAGCTTATTAAATCGCATGCCTCTGTTCATTGTCTAGGATAAAATATGCGACTGCAGAACTACACCGGTTCAAAAACTAGGCGACTGCTGCACGTGTGAGCCCGGAGAATACAACCCTGCCCAGTATAGACGAGATGAGTGTCCAGGACAACCTTGCTGTTGTTGATCAAACTAGCTCACCGGCGCTGTTGAATTAGCTTAGAATTGTATTGTATTAATTTGAGAGATAATTTAACAGCAGATAAGACTTACAAGCTATATGTTTTTTGAATATAAATAACACACAATCATTACTTCTACTTCAAAGTAAATAAATAAATAAATGAAACGTAGTCAAGGTTATCTGTGTGGGTTATTTAACAATAGGACATGTTAAAACTGCATCGCTTTTCTTTCAGGACATCTTATGCATTATGTCCATGTTATTGGAGGTTAGAAAATGAATTCTCGCATACTATATTAAGCCAATTTTAACATACGGCTGTGAATACTGGACAATTATTAAACAAGTCAAGTAATTTCTTGAGGCCTTTGATACATGGCTTCACAGAAGAATCTCTAAAATACCTTGGACAGACAAAATACAACCACGATGTTTGAAAAAGGCTAGGACTTAAACACAACTAATTACTTCTTCTTCTTCTTCTTCTTCACGTTCATCGGCTGTAAAATCCGACGAAAAGCTCTGGTTGTTCCTCGACTTCTCGACTGCAGTCCTGTTCCAGAACCCGAGTGTTGCGTGTGCATCCGTTTTACAGATTTGACTCATTTGTATGCAGACTGCTGGTTCCTTATCTCTCAGGCAGATGCACTCCGACTTTGAAGGAAGCTCCCAGTTAGTCGACTCTTACGACATGCTTTTGGGTAGGCAGTTGGTCTATTCTCCCCCCCCCCCCCCCCTATAATAGGGCCCCGGAACCCACACGGGGAAACTAATAACAAAGAACAGAACGACACAGCCATCATGTTTTACTACATAGTGAGAAGAAGGAAACTGGAACGTGCTATGGCCAATGGAAAGGTATATGGGGAAAAAAGAGACAAAAGAAAATTCTTGACAGCTTTTTCTTGTGGCATTTATGGACCATGTGACTTGATAAACGCAGGTTTTAGACAGACATGACAGTCCACGCCCACTGAATTAGATTTTTATTTGTTTCATATTTCTTCTTCTTCTTCTTCGCGGTCACCAGCTGTAAACTCTGGCGGAAAGTTCTGGTTGTTTATCCACTTCTGGACTAGCAGTCCTGTTCCAAAACCTGAGTGTTGCGTGTGCATCCGTTTTACAGATCTGACTCATTTGTGTGCAGACTGCTGGTTCCTTGCCTCTCAGGCAGCTGCACTCCGACTTTGAAGAAAGCTCCAAATTAGTCGACTCTTACGACATGCTTCTGGGTGGGTATATTCTTTTTTTCCCTATAATAGGGCCCCGGAACCAACACGGGGATGTTCTATATTTGAAATCAATCCAGTCTGCTAGATTTTGGGTCCATCTTTCTTGGCCTGCCTCCTGTCCTCCTCTCTTAGAGTATGGAAACTCATTTCAAATCTAACATAAAGCAAAGTGTCATATCCCCACTTCTTTTGAGCTTGTCTGTAAAGAAAATAATAAGAAAGGCAAAAGAAGATTATGCTACAGAAAAAACAAAAGGAATAGTTTACCTCGGCATTCGGACACCTCAAAACTAGAACAACTTGGAAGCTGAACTAAATTCTCAAGCACATTTTGCCTCAGAACTCGAACGCCACCTTGAAACCGAACGCCTGGCACGTGCCAATCACATGACTGAGATGACCACACAAGAGCTTCAGCATCTTCACCAGCTGTGGAGGAAGAAATTGCAAAGAAATTTCTTCCGGGGAGGAAGGAGGGGGAGATGGAATAATAACGATGCTGAAATTCATGTGGTCGAAAACACAAGAAGTATGTATATATTAAGTTGTACCCCACTAGGACATCACACAGAGCAATAAACACCCGGTGAAACAAAGTGCCACCAAGAGGAGAAGGATCACCATTGGAAAGGTCCCAGAAACCCCGTTCAGCCTTTAGGCCATATTTGGGCTCCCGGAAAAAGCCATGGTGGAGCTTAAAACAACGAAACTTTGCATCCCACATGGGGACGGTATGATAACACTAGTAGTTGTTGGGAGGTGGCACTATATTAGAACCCTAGTTAACAGGTGTGTTAACTTATTCAATGATAATATTATCGAACATTTAGAAAAATTAAAAATGGTAACCAACACAATAATAGCATTTTAGAATGCTGGCTGTGAACAAAAACTAGTGTCTCCAAACCCTCTACAAGTAGATATAAAGCCGAACGAAAAGTATATTAGCCAGCTTCACAATATAACAAATACAAACAAAACGTGAACGTTGTGGTTATGGAGCCTTCATCGGCACATACAAATCAAACAATACTACACAAATACACAAAATCACTTAGCTGGTATCTCGAAGCAGCCAGGTCGATGGTTTCTCAGCAAACTATCTTCACACGTGGGCCAGGGAAATGAATATCCCCTGTGGAGTACCAGGGACCATAACTGGGGGGGGGGGGGGTTAGAGATAAAACTGTGAATGCAGTTCAATCCCTTAGGAGTTTATATGAAACTGTGTTGGCAATTCAGCCCAGAGGGTGTTAAAGTCCCCGGAGTGTAAATAAAGCGATTCTTAAGAATCTTGCGGACTCAATCGCTGGAGTGTCTGCTTTACAAGTAGAGAAGAAATATTATATGTAACACACAATGATGCATGATGTCATTATGGAAAGTAACTTACTTTCTAAACAATAATTTTCCCCTAATCCAATTTTCTCCTCCTACTTCTGCGTGCCATGTCACCATTTTGATCAAGGTAAGTAAATAGCATGCTTTTATATCTGTTTTTATGTATGTATGATAACATTCAAATATGATCATCGTCTGTTACTGTATTTACTCTTTGAGTCCCAAGGAACGCAGCATACGTTCATAGGTTCTTGCCTAGAGGCCCAATGAACGCAAGATGCGCCGATTTTACATCTCTTTTGACTACCCCTTGGGCCTCTGATGCTAAACACCCTGGGACCCAAAGAGTTTAGAAAATACATTGTAAAATTTAAGTTATCGCACAAGGGTAGTAACCCATTGGTGCTCTGTTCTAATTACAATTCAAGACTGAGCCCGAAAATCTTTACGCAGTGCACGAAGTCCGTAGCACCAGCGAAAATCCTAAAATACTTTAGGTAGATCTGCAACTTAAAATGGTGCCGTTAGGCCACTCGTTTAGATTTCCAACTGCCTAGGGCTTCTATACGTGCACAAGAATATACACGCGCGTCCAATCTTACTACCCAGAGACCAGGGGTAAATAACTAGAAGTCCACATGAAAAATCCCAGCCTTCACCGAGGCTTGAACTCGGGACCTCCAGCACTCGAGACCACTCAGCTCCATAACCATTCTGCTCTGGCTAATATAATGGCGGGTGCACCCGCATGGTTTTTCCTGTCTCGCAGCTCCAGATAATTTTCCACGAAACTGAAAGCCTCACAGCGTTTAGTCTTTTGCATGGCATTGATGATGGCTCTCCTGTCTATATATGGTCCATTCCCGATCGTCGCATTGCCAGCCAGGATGTTGTCCAATATCTTTTCTGTCGCTGCTAGCTTTAGGCTTTTCTTTCACCCTGGCCGCGACGGAATAGATTTTACACTGTTACTGACTGCAGCACTTCAAATTGTCTATCGTGGAAGTAAACAAGTTCCAGATAGAAAATCCACATCGTTGACGTGAAACATGGGAACTTTAGATAACGCCAACCCTGTCGTCTTTCAGCGCACCAAAGAGAGAGATGTTTTACCAGAAGAAGAAGATGATTTGATAAAAGACGCAATTGATAGCAGAGAAGTGTTCGGTCTGTATTGCTTATTTACATTGTTCGTATTCGTATTTTTGCTAGTTACCGTCATCATCCTATGTTTTTAGTTTTCAAAATCAATCTTCTACTGCTACGGCTACACTCTTACTTGCATAGAAAGTAGAAAGAAAAGTAAACGTAAAAGACTTCAAGGTAATACTTACTTTTGTAGGGTGCCCCAAAATAAATTTCGTATACTATTATACTATACAGTACAGCATACGGTTCACTGGGATGTGTTTGTTCTTGTTAGATTTGCATTGGCATTACCATTCGAAATGTGGGCATGCCGAAATGTGACCCCGCCGAAATGTGACCCCTGATTCATTTGTTTTTGAGGGTCAAACCTTCAGTCAGCAATCCTAGAGGGACAATGTGGAAATTTTTTTTAAAAACGAGAAAATCGTTTTTGTATTTTAATTTCAATGATGTCATTCGCAAATTTTCTTATTCCTTTTTTACAGCCCACAGTTGTGATATTTGCCAAACACATAAACTTACTTCAAGTATTTGTTGATTGAATTGTCTTTTGCTTTCCTTCCAGCTCACACTCTGTTTCTATGGTTTGGTGTGTGTGTAAAAGGGGGGGGGGGGGAGGTGGTGTTCCTTGTGCTTCTCTAACATGTACCGTTTTCTTAGTATTTTTGGCTCTCCACCGAATTTCTACCCGATATTATGGCGGCCAAGCAAATAGCGTAACAGGGCCTCAGTTGTGTGTAAAATGCAGACTTTCTGCCAAGGAACAAATTGTGGCAAAATTAGGATTACTTGACAATTTCAAGAGCCCAATACTGCAGACGATAGTACCAGACAAAAATAGCGACCGTTGATAATTTCAAGCGTTTCTGCAGATGATACTAGCAGACGTTAATAGCAACTATTGATAATTTCGAGACACGCAGCATTACAGACGATAAAAGCCACATGGCGGGGAGACCACACGCTCCTACCATAACCGGCTTCAGCTGATGGGCCGTGCTGCTGACGTCACCGGGTCGGGCTAGCGATGCGTTAACGCAGCGGTTCTCAAACTGGGTACCGAGGCAACCCGGGGTGCCGTGAGCGTATGCTAGGGGTGCCACGGCAATAATCAAGAAAAGTCGGCTAAAAATTTTGAAATTATTAAAGAAGGCATGTAGATACTTACAAGTTAAAATTTAAGTTGTCTCCCCTCGCCGCTGTTGAAAACAGTTTATTTCTTGTTAGAGAATCGCTGCGTTATCGCATCGTTGGCCCGGTGACGTCAGCAGCACGGCCCGT